GACAAATATTTAGGAAAATCGGCTGAGGTGGTACTGACATTACTTAACCCTCTATGGGCCCGTGTAACTTTCAGGTCACATTTGAATTTATTGGCATTTTAGAAAATAATTATAACTTTTTTCATGAGATGGCGCAGAAACCTAACTCTATGACGTTACCAACACAACCAGAATTAGTATTCATGACCATTGTTAGGGTCGTCAGTCTGAAACAACAAAGTAGATACTGTGCAAACTGTCTACAGTAGAACTACGCGAAAGCAATTGATCTAATTGGTATTATCTGTGTTTTTGTCAGGGATTATCAAATTAAAAATAGTGGACATAATAGCTCTGGGTTTGTATATCAATAACCACCTGTTAGTTTGCATTTCAATTTTCAATTTGTTACTGTTTTTTTATGATAGAGTCTTGCAACTTTGAGGTTATAGTGGACTATTGTGGCAGATTTCGGTACATTTAGGATAAAGCTTGTGCATTCTCCCGTTTTCAGATTTATACATCATTTACCCAAAGATGAATACAAGATCCAGTAGAAATAACCGATCAATTAGAATTAGACGCATTAGCGGTAATAGATTCGACGATTCCTTATTAGATTCCGACTCTGATGAGGATGTAGTAGTATTTCCCCGACGACGGATAAATGTCATTGATAGCGACGACGTATTTAGCACTGAATCCTCGTCAGATGAGGAAGATCCAGGGCCACAAAAAATTGTTTGGCAACAACTATCAGAAACAAATAATAATTGTTGTTATCGCCCATGGAAAGGAGATTGCCCTAATGTCCCCAACGCACCCCATTCTCCAATGGCCTATTTTCAGAGAAGCTATTTGATAAGGAGATTATAAGGGATTGATTGATTATAAGGGAAGTTGATTATACCAACGCGTATGCATTGCAATGTGATCCAGCAAAACTCATTGCTGTTTCAATAAATGAAATCGAGCAATTCTTTGGCTGCTGTTTTTTTATGTCCATTTACGGATTACCGAGAACTGAAATGTATTGGAATTCAATGACAAGAGTGTCCGCTGTTGCCGATACTATGAGTCGTACGCGATGGAGAAATATAAAATCAAAACTACATTTTAGTCAAAATTTACCGGCCAACGGAGCAAACAATGTTGAAGCGACCGATAGTTTGCAAAAAAACCCATATTGGATAAATTGGTCAAAAATTTTAATCGCATTCCAATGTCTGAACACGTATGTGTTGACGAGCAAATTATACCTTTCAAAGGAAGACAAAGGCTAAAACAATATATGCCCAAAAAACCAAAAAAATGGGGTTACAAAGCCATTTTATTGTGCGACTCAACGGGAATCATTTATAATTTCGAAATTTACACCGGCAAAATGACACATGATCCTGAATTACCTAATGTCGGAAGTAGTGGTAATGTGGTATTACGTTTATCCAAAATTATACCGAAACAATGCTTTCATAAAATTTGTTTCGACAATTGGTTTTCATCCGTGCCTTTAGCAACTGAATTAGAAAAAATGGGAATTCAGAGCACTGCAACTGTGCGGTCAAACCGACTGAAAAACTGTGAATTTTCGTCCGATAAAGTCATGAAGAATAAGGGCAGAGGCAGTTCTGAGATCTTCTCTGCATCTATTCATTGAGTCACCATAAATGCGGTGAAGTGGTACGACAACAAGGCCGTTGATTTGATGAGCACATTTTGCGACCTTGAACCAACTGATATAGTGAAAAGGTGGGACAAGAAAATAAAAAGAATGATCGTTGTACCACGACCAAATATAGTGAAAGTATACAACCAACACATGGGTGGCGTAGATTTGGTGGATTCGTTGATAGCATTGTATCGAATAAAAATTCGATCAAAGAAATGGTACCACCGAATTATATTTCACCCCTTAGATTTGACGATGGTCAATGCTTGGCTTTTATATAAGCGAGATTGCTCATCGCAATCTATAAGCCCCGGACGTCAGTACAGTTTATTGGAGTTTAAAACTGACGTTGCATTTTGTTTATGCCAGGAGCACAAAGAAGCCCCAAAGAAACGGGGGCGTCCTGCTTCAAATGAGGTAGATAAACAATTAGAAAACAAAAGAAAAAAGATACCAAATAGTACAATACCTGTACAAAACGTACGAAAAGATAAAGTGGCACGTTGGCCAATTTTTTCGGACAGCAGAGGACGTTGCAAAAAGCCCGGGTGCAAAGGAGTCCCGAAAATAAAATGCTCAAAATGTAATGTACATTTATGCTTAACACCAAATGCAAATTGTTTTATGGAAGTCCACGTATAAGTTATTATACAGGGTGTTCCACAATTATTTTAACAGCCGAAAATGAGGGGTAGCTGAGGTCATTTGAAGTAACTTTTTCCTTTGCGAAAATGCAATCTGGGGCTTTGTTTACGAGTTATTAACGAAAAACACTGGCCAATGAGAGGTGACGGTGCGAGGGAGAGGGTCCGCGAGAGAGTCCGCAGCACGAGGCTTTGACAGAAGGACGGGACGGACTCGAGCCGCGTTCGAAGTATTGAACAAGTCACAAGAACTTTCTGGATTTTTTTTACTACATAACAGTGATATTTTTAAGAAAAACGCTGTTAACCTCTACTTTAGAACGTCTGAAGAATATTTACTAATTTTTTGGACCCGAAATAATATGAAGTTTAACCGTGACAGCTGTTTTAATTTTCTGGTGTGCATGACACCTCGTGTGTACCATATGAAATTTTTATGCAAGGTGTACAGTGAAGATTAACGAATGATTTGCAAAGCTGATTTAATAATAAATAAGGGACGTAAAGGATTTGTTTATTAGAGAGATATGAAAAATATTATCAGTAAGAAACTCACCCATTTAGTTGAGGATGCATTTGCTGGCTGAAATTCATGATGTCGAAGGGCACTGACCTTGTACAACGTACAGCTGATCTTTCACTGCACTGTCACTAAACACTGATCACTTAATTAATCACTGATAATCCGAATCACTTGTGGATATTTAAGAAAGATCACTGAGACTCGTTCGCGGATAATCGTTTATTCGACGCGTTCGTTCGGAAGTCGACGTTTCACTGCCGAAAAATTCAGGCCTTGACTGTGGGTCCTTGTTGTTCGTCGTTCGGCCGTCCGAGGAAATGACACTCGATACCATTTTCTTCGCACGGCCATTAATTACGTTCTAAGAGCGCAGGGTGACAGCGGGTCGGACACAGTTTACGTCTCGGCATATCTTGTTTATTTCATTTGGCGGTACCCTGCGCTTCGAAGAAAATAGTATCGGGTGTTATTTCCTCGGACGGCCGAAAGACGAACGACAAGGGCCCACGGTCGAGGCCTCGATTTTTTGGCAGTGAAACGTCGACTTCCGAACGAACGCGTCGAATAAACGATTATCCGCGAACGAGTCTCAGTGATCTTTCTTAAATATCCACAAGTGATTCGGATTATCAGTGATTAATTAAGTGATCAGTGTTTAGTGACAGTGCAGTGAAAGATCAGCTGTACGTTGTACAAGGTCAGTGCCCTTCGACATCGTGAATTTCAGCCAGCAAATGCATCCTCAACTAAATGGGTGAGTTTCTTACTGATAATATTTTTCATATCTCTCTAATAAACAAATCCTTTACGTCCCTTATTTATTATTAAATCAGCTTTGCAAATCATTCGTTAATCTTCACTGTACACCTTGCATAAAAATTTCATATGGTACACACGAGGTGTCATGCACACCAGAAAATTAAAACAGCTGTCACGGTTAAACTTCATATTATTTCGGGTCCGAAAAATTAGTAAATATTCTTCAGACGTTCTAAAGTAAAGGTGAACAGCGTTTTTCTTAAAAATATCACTGTTACGTAGTAAAAAAAATCCAGAAAGTTCTCGCTTCGTGATTTGTTCAATACTTCGAACGCGACTCGAGTCCGTCCCGTCCTTCTGTCAAAGCCTCGTGCTGCGGACTCTCTCGCGGACCCTCTCCCTCGCACCGTCACCTCTCATTGGCCAGTGTTTTTCGTTAATAACTCGTAAACAAAGCCACGGATTGCATTTTCGCAAAGGAAAAAGTTACTTCAAATGACCTCAGCTACCCCTCATTTTCGGCTGTTAAAGTAATTGTGGAACACCCTGTATACCTCCGGTGCATCATGCATATTTTGAAACACTACCACACACACATGCAGAGAATAAGTAAATACTATCAGTATCTTCTAATTTTGACAATGTAATTGGCGTCTAAAATAAAATTTGATGTGTTGTTATGCGTATTTGTAAACAAAATTATATTAAAATTAAGTATATTTTAAGTGATATTTGATTTTTCAAAATTGAAATTAAACGATTTTTACAATTGTCTAATTTTGAAAGTGGTGTAAGTCCATTTACAGTCCATAAATATGTGTTATCGTAGTCTAATTCGCCTAAAACAAATCTATATAATCAAATTAAATATTGATAAAACAATAGAAACAATGCCAGACCTCATATAATTTGCTTATATTTTTAAATCAACAAACATATTAACCTTTAATTTTCTCGAAACAAAAGAAAATGGACTTACACCACTTTCAAAATAAACGGTCCATATAGCACACAGGAAACTCTTTGGCTTCGCCGCATTTTGTTAGAATTAAAATTAACATGCGAAGCCGTGCCAATGTTTGTGGACAATCAGTCCGCCATTAACACGTTAAGTGCCCAGCCCGATTTGCTTGCCGTTCCGTTTTCCCAAAATCCCCACTTCTTGCCAGATGATACGAAAACGAAAGGCGAGGCTAAACGATGCCTGGATGTTTAACGAAACCTCAGTTGCACAGAAGTCAGAGTTCAGTCTCATTCACTATAGTAGATCTACCAGTTTTCTTGTTCACCATAAATTCAAAGTTTTTTATCGCCCTAAAAATGTTGAGTGGATCACAAAGTGATACATCGAGCGAATTAATTTTGCCGCCTAGAAATCGTCGGCGCCGTGCTTTGCTCTCATCCGAAGACGATACTTCATTAGAGAATGTGCATATACACAACGAAAGGGAATCAACCGAAAATCACAACCTTCACGAGTGTGTACGGTGTTGACACAAGAAACATAGAACTGCAGAATTGTGTCAATATAGAAGACTTCTATGCGTTATTAGTCACTGAAGAAATGCTTGAAGAAATAAGTGAACAGACGAATATATACGCAACACAAAAGCAATCGATGATGACTTCGAAGCGTATAGAGCGGTGGATTCCTACCAACAAGGAAGAGATCAAGCGCCTTTTTGGGCTCATTATTTGGATGGGACTTATAAAATATCCAGGTAAAAGTTTATACTGATCCACGGATCCTGTATATTATCATCCGTTCCCTCATAAAATAATGAGCAGAAATCGTTTCCAAATACTTTTGAGAATGCTGCATTTCACAAACAATGCTGCAGCAGATGTCACCAAACGCTTATGGAAAATACAGCCTATTTTAGATGACCTCAACAAAAATTTCAAAAAGTATTACAATCCAACAGTACTTGTCTGTGTTGACGAATCCATGATCCCATTTCGTGGACGGATTGTATTTCGGCAGTTTATGAAGCAGAAAAGGCATAAATACGGCATCAAAATTTTCAAACTCTGCTGCGGATTGGGATACACGTACAACTTCCGTGTCTACAGTGGCGAAGTGTCAGATGAAGTCAACACAACGCCGACAAATACGGTTATGAATTTGTGCCAAGACATATTTCACAAAGGCCACACAGTATGTACGGACAATTGGTACACAAGCTTAACTTTAGCGAAACATCTCCTGGAACGGAATACGCATTTGATGGGTACTCTCCGAAACAATCGGAAAGGCAATCAACTGCATGCGAAATAAACGAGTTAGATTCAAATCCAAGCGAAACACATGATTTAGCTTCAAATCAATGCGGAGTAGAAGGTTTAGCTTCAAATCCATGCGAAAGACATGATTTAGCATCAAATTCGTGCGACACACATGATTTAGGTTTAAGTGCTTTACACAAGAAAGTCGGGAAGGAATCACGATTTTAAAATGGAAGGAAAAGCGTGACGTATTATTACTTTCCACTAAACATTCTTCCGAAATGGAATCTGTTCGCAAAAGAAGACAAGTCATCCATAAACCTAAAATTGTAATTGATTACAACGTAGGAAAAAAATCGATCGACCTTTCTGATCAAATGACCGCATACAGCAACCCATTACGAAAATCAATGAAGTGGTACAAAAAATTAGCACTCAAACTTCTGTTGAACACAGTCATTGTAAATTCTTTTTTTATATATCGAGAAACAACAGGCCAGATAATATCTATAACAGAATATCGGAAAAAGCTGATCCAGGCACTCACTCAGCGCAAGGACGAAGAAGCTGACAGGAGAACAAAACTTCGTTGAATTGACTCGGCAGACGTAGGAAACGCGCGGGCATGTTTGGCATGTTTGTGCCGACTAGGGTGGTTTCCCATGTTTTGCGCGTATCGGGGTTCATCTTTGCTATCGCGATGTTGGTGAGTAGATCGTGGGCGATGTTCTCCCTCGACCGTCCGAGTGCTTGCAATGACCGAATATGTGCCTGCATGTGGTTCACGAGATCCCGGATCGAATCGGCGGAGTTGTCTGGCATTGCGGGCGTATCTATTAAGAGTGATGTATGTCTAAGTACAAGAGCGCGTGTGTTGTCGTAGTCTTCTACTAGCTGCTCCCATGCGGCCTTGTAATTGTTCTCGCTTATCGGGAGCGAGTCGATCGCGGACGCCGCCTTCCCGGTTAGGGAAAGTCGCAGGTAGCTCAGTTTCTGGACGTCGGTGAGATGCGGGTGTGCGTGGATGGTGTTTTGGAACGTGTCCTTGAAAGTGATCCACCTTTCGAGACGGCCGTCGAATTGTGGCAAATCAATTTTGGGCAAGTGTACCCCAAGGGTTGTTCCGGACATGGTCGGTGTAGGAGAACTGATGGTGCCTCGAGTGGTGGAGACCGATTGTAAGTCGGCCTTACCTAATTTGTCCAACAATACTTCCGCATTCGCGATGACCGTGTCGTATGTTTCGGTTGTTGACTCGCGTTCGGCTTCGATTTCGTCGGGGTCCTCGTATTCGTGGAGTTTGTTCTGGATGTCGTTGAAGCTGTCGAATTGGATCCGCAACCGTTCAACCCGATTCCGGAGTTTGGCGCGTTCACCGTCGGAGTCGCGAAAGTCGGTCACAAATTTCGACAGGTTCGTCATTTGCGATTTGAAGACGCGGCGCTTCATTTTGAGGTCTCGGATGATTTGTTGAATATTGTCGTCGGTTGCCATTTTACTGCGCGTCACGGACGGGACTCAGTGGGAGTAGATAATGAGAAGGGATTTGATTGACAGTTCAGAAACAAGCCTACCTTGACTGCGTTCCGGTTGCTGCGTGTTGTCTTCGGCTGAGCGTGGTCTGACTGGACTGCGGCTCAGGGTGGCTGTTGCTTGGCTGGACTGCCCGTTGATGTGGTGTGCGGTCTTTCTGGTTGTTGTCGAGTACGCGCACTGTTGTCACCACACAGATCACTAGAATCCGGCTCGAAGGACCATGAATTGACTCGGCAGACGTAGGAAACGCGCGGGCGTTGAAATGAACCCTTCCGGGGTTGTAAGGCCCGGATTGCACTGTGGACGCGTATGTTCTTAAGTCGCCGAGATTGATTGCCCGCCAAATTAATTTTGGGCTATCGGATTCAAGTTTCGGATTAGTGGTTGCGCGTACTGTTGCATGATTTGAAAGACTGAGGGCTTGTGCCTTGTGAATGATTGCTCGCGGGATGACTGCTCGCGTGTACCGGGAAAATTGCAATGACCGTTTTTTCGGGTTTGCTCGACTATTTATGTGGGTAGTTCCTCGTTGGTACATGTCCTGGAGGGGGTAGGAACGCTAGTCGCTGGGTCGTGGAGTCTCTGCGACCCTGGTTCATGCCCCGGAAATTCCGTCAGGTCAACTCAGGTAGCGGGCCCCGTCGCGCGCTCGACGTCGACTGACCCTTCGGAAATTCCGGGTTTATGGGACCTTATGGCTGTCAAGGAAAACGGCTTATTTACGATGAGCAAAAAAAAACGTCTGCCTTGTGATTTTATGCTATGTCCGGATGACATCCGGACAATCTGGACGCCAAATGGTTATGAAAGTGTCCTTGACTGCAGCCCAACCATGGTCACGTCCGTGTCGTAAACCCGGTCGCAAAGACTCCACGTGTTTGTTCCTTCGCGATGGAACATTCGTCATCATTTGATGAAAAAGAAAGGCACTGCTCATAAAATTCGGAGATACTGCGTTCAGTGTTATAATAATAATTCCTGAATATTAGGTTCAAAGATGGCAAAGAATTCAACAAAAAAAGTTAACACCTTCTGCAATGAATGCAAAAGCAAACCACACCTCTGTTTACCCTGTTTTAATAAACTACATTAACTTTTTTAAAATATCATATTCTTTTTTTTCAAGCCTTGACTGAACAAGAACCGATGTCCCCTAAGCAAAAAAATTTAGTCTCACGTCAGTGCGTAAGGACCGACACGCGCGGTCATGTAATATAAACCTAAAGTCTGCGGCCGGTCCCCAGGGACCAGCGTGGCACTTAACGTGTTAACATCGCTAGTTTAAGCTGCACTTTGCAGCTTTGGTATGGCTTGAGCCGGCGACAGCCTGTATTGCTCAATATAGTAGACAATCAATATCGATTCGCGTTATTTCTTGCAACACGCGAAGCGAATAGTTATGAGTCGCGTTACGGAACTCTTGAACGATCATTCGTCGTTGAAAGTGAACGTGGTATTGGAGGCAGAATTCGTGTTGCGTGACGAGGTTTCGGTGCAAAGTTTTAATATGCGAAACGTCGCGCTCTTCCGATCGCCCAATCTACGTCACTGGTACACGAAAGATATTATACCTACGCTTCTGGCCTCGATCCAGGAGTTTCAAGAACGGGACAGCGGATGGGCGTTGTCGAAGATCTTGCACTTGATGGTGAATTCCAAGTATCAACCGTTGCAAGCAGGTTGCGTACCCCGAGCAGTGCAACTGAAAAGAGCCATCGTCAACGTGAACAGTAATGACGACGACGAGTAATAACCTAAAAACCGCCCAAAAACCCCTATGAATGATCGATTAAAAATAACTTGTGCTTCGATCCCTATGAATCAATTACTAGATATAACTTATGCTTCGACCCTTATGAATCAACTAAAATTTACTTGTACTTCGACCCCTAGGAGATGAGAATAGTATAAGAGACCGACCGAAACACTCAATCCTCAGTCTTGACTTTGCACATTGTTATTCTACGCGACTACTATATTATTTTGTATAATTGTAATAATTTGTGTTTGAATAAACTAAGTGAATGTTAGGCTATTGCTCAACATCATTTTTTTTATATCATTAGTCTCGTTATTACGTGACATTTTGGCGATCCTGCCAGGATAGTGTCTATTGTGCTTTGGAAAACTGAAGAAAGTCTTCCCACGTAGAAGAACGGATCCAGGGCTACGAGCCACGCCAGAAGTCAACGATACTATTACGAGCGACCACCAATGAAAGAGCAGCACATTACCAGATTCAACCAGCCAATTCTACGGAACACTTACTACGAAGAGTCTCAGGTAAACAAACTGGCTTTATTTCACTTATATCGTGAGAGAATACCAAGCTTCTCCAGTCAGGATTCGTCAGAGCAAGGTTCGATCAAATCAATTGTTGTTTTAAACCCTAAACCAAATCAAATGGAAGGAACAAGCAGTATGGATCTCAATTTAAGAGCAATCCTAGACCCTATGCAGAAACAAAGTGAGCGTCATGAAACAAACATGAACGAACTGAAAAGTATGCTGTTAACGGTCAATGAAGAGAATAATAAACGGGCCAAAGAAATAGAAATGTTGGGTAAAAGTTTCGCCAAAATAAAAGTACCCAATGCAGACAGCATAGGCACGTCACAGTATGCTAGCAATTTAGTCACTGATGATGAAAGCGAAAATACAGCTGTGCGACAAACAGCTAAACCTCCACGAACAAACAACGTGAAAAGAACGCCGCTTGCCAGAGAAGTCAGAGAAACTTGAGACGAGAAGAAGATGAAATACGAGAAGATTTCGGAAATCTACGTCATCCAGCGAAGCTATGACGTAGACGAGGACGAGGACGAGACGACATCGGAATTGAAGGTTTCATCAAGAAAGTTCGAAAGGCACGTTTAAGATTTAAGGAACAGCCAGAACTTCTGGACCTGATTCTAGCACAGAGAATCACTGAAGATGTCGAACGCAGTATTCGACATTTGGAAATCGATAATTTCACCGATTTGTATGCAGCATTAAGACAATTTGTCAGCATACCGACCACTGCCGACTCAGCCAGAGACCGACTACGACAAGTACGTCAAGGAACTATAGAGACAGACATTGTCGTAAATTATGTTGAGTGCGAGCGGCGATTTTGTCGCACCTTCGACTGACGATTTCCAGGCCACCAGGCACTCGAGGCCCCAATAGTATTTGGTTTCCTAGGTCGCAGACAAAAGATATATATTGCCGGGTAAGTGGCCGAGGACTGTCGCGTGGTTTTCCAGAGATCAGTTTGTTTTTCCTTTGGAAAATCGCGGGCCTCGGGGTGGGCTTTAGTTGGGGGAACATTGACCCACCTCTGCATCTTCGACGGCCCAATTACAAGTATAGGGCCGCCCACACATAGTGGAGAAAATGTGTGACTTTTTGGGGAACGAATACGCCCAGTTGACACTTTTTGAATATATAGTGCGTGACCTAGTAAGTGAGTTTTACTGAGTTTAGAGTTGACGGCATGACAGAAAAAGTTCTGTTGGTGTGCAAGTATTCTATGTGAAGTGCCTGTGAGGTGCGAGGTCAGTAGAGTTTTGATATAACGATTTATCTGAGCACACATTTCTTTCGGTAAGTGTAACGGTAGTAAAAAGTTTTTTTCCTTCTAAAAAGGCGGTGAGCATTTTTCATTTTTCATTTTTGCCCATTTAAATATTAGATACAATGGATATGGAATTCAGTGATTCGTCTGATGAATCCGTATCTAGAATCATGCGAAAGAGACGAAGACGTACAATACTTTCATCATCATCATCATCATGTCGTCTTCCAAGCTAACCTGCACCGGAGTAGAGTCGCGAATGCCCTCCTTGAGCAAATGCGGCTCGAGCGGAAGATCGATATTCTTCTGCTCAGCGAGCCGTACAGAACTCGGGAGGGCCCTACGTGGTTTTCTGATGCGCCAGGAACTGCTGCCATCTGGATCCCGGACCCGTCCAGATTCCGGGTGCAGACGTGCGGCGCAGGGGCGGGATACGTCTGGGTGAAGGGCGAGGGCCTGACGCTGATAAGCGTATACCTTTCCCCCAATGATCGCATCGCGGAATTTCGCGATAAGGTCGGGGCCCTGGAGGACGCCATCCGCGAGCTGGAGGGGGGATGCGTCGTCGGGGGGGACCTCAACGCGAAGGCGGTGGAGTGGGGTATGCCCAGACCGGACACCAGGGGCAGGCACCTGATGGAGATGGCGGCCCGACTTGGACTGGTGGTGCTAAATCGGGGGACCTCTACGACCTTTCGGAGGTTTGGCTACAA